TTTTATTTTACTTTTATTTTACTTTTATTTTTATTTTATTTACTTTTTGCGGAACCGGGGATTGAACGGAATAAAGCATTTAATGGTTAACACATAGAATTTAGGAAATTTAAAATGCAAATTTCTGTACAATGGGCTCAAGCAACTGCCAGTGCCTATCTTATTACTTGCAGACAACCTTCTAAATTTTGCAGAATTGAAAAGAACGCTTAGATTTTAAACTTTTTCCTTTCTTTCCAATGGGTGCAAATCGACTTACGCATAAAGCTAGTTTTCACTCCCCTTTTGTCCCTAGAGGTGGAATAAGTTACACACAGCTAAACACACATGCTGCCTAACACACATCAACTTCCACTGCGGGTCTCTTTGTTTGATAATTTTGTATTTTGAATGGAAGTTGGATGCTCTGCAGTACTGTTGCAGTTTGTGTGTCCTGTCATATATATAGGGCCAAAAAATTCCAAAACCTATATGAACAGTTCCAGATTGAAGCTTCCTACCTAGAGTATTGTCTTTTGTGTTCCTTTTTCTTATAAATTACCTGAATCAGAGGACTAGAAAATATATTAGGAAGTGCTGACGGATTCACACTACCTGAGTGGCCGGTAGTGTACATGGGACTTAGACCAACCTTTGGTTCTGCAGCATATGGTTACGCAGTATTCCGGAATCGAAAGATTTAACAAATTGGCAAATCTGAATCTGAATATCAATCTTCACAAAGCAAGGATGATATTTAATCAGCTACCTTCCTGTAAAACAGGAATTGTTTTAAGAATGAATAAGAAACCGTTACTAGAAAGTAATTTAACTTGGATTTTTTTGGGGGAGAGGGTTTAGATTTGTAAGATATAACCATATAATACTGGGTTTCACAAATATTATTGCATATAGGATCTCTGCACCAACTGAAATTTCTTATAAACATTTTCTCTAGAGTTTGTCAACACGTGCATTTCACTGATTGATTTCTTTTCTATTATTGGGGGCCCCGAGATGGGAGTGGGGGCCGGCGGACTTTCTTAAAGATTGAAGTGAGATTTCCTAGAGCAGGTAGCATTCTGCAGTGACGCGTTAAATCCAAGATCAAGAAGCAAGTAGCTTGTTCACTTGCTAGCTTCTGGATGTTCATGTAACAGCAGAGTGAAGTAGAAACCCAGGGACGTTTACACGGTTCTCCTGCGTGCCGCGCACGCCCAGGTGCTCCTTCAGACCGCCAGAGGCCGAGCCACAGCAGCTGGTGTGTGACCCCGCTGAGGCGGCGGCAGAGACCTCACGTCCACTTCCACACTCTCGTTCTTGTCCTTTCCTCTTCAGCAGAAACCTGCATGAGAGTGAGTGTCAGTTACATATAGCTGTAAGTGATCTGAGTATGTGTGTAGGGTATGTTTGTATGAATATATGTGTGAACCTTGCTCACACGTGTAGTCACATTCTCGGCACTTACTTAAGCCTTGAATATTTCTAAGGTTGTCTGTGGATTTTCTCTATAATCTAGGGAAACATCACTGATACATGAGGTAATTAGATATAAGGTGATAACATTAAATAGCTTAATTTTTGATCCTTATTTATTTGTTTTTGTGCTTTGGAGGCAGTGTCTCACACAGTTCAGACTGGCCTTGAGCTCACTTTGTAGCCCAGGCTGGTCTCGAACTGGCAACGATCTGCCTGCCTCAGCAGCCAGAGTGCTGAGATTACAGATGTGCACCACCACACCCAACTTTGATATTTTATTTTTAAATTAGATAAGCATTAGTGAATATCACTAACTAATACTTCATTTAATTAAAAACTGAAATTAACTTGAAGCTATGGTACATAGCTCAAGAGGTTACTCAAGAGGCCGAACCAGGAGGATCCCGAGTCCAAGGCCAGCCAACTTGAGATGCAGCCAAGGTGCTTCTCAAAATTCAACATAAAAAGGGCTGGCGTGGTGCTTGTGTGCAGAGCGTCCCCACGCTCATCCCAGTAACCACACATGAAAAGTAAACTTAAAAATGTTTTCAAACAAACCATCCTGTAAGGCAAAATAAGGTCTGGCCCAGAAGATGCCACAGCTGTTGCTCGTCCCTTGTCTAGTCTCTTCCCGGCCCCAGCTAGACAGTTGGGATACCTTATATTTTTTATTCTCACTTGCAGGCACAATTTTATCAGTAAAGGAGCCTGCTAAGCAAGTTACTTGGCTCAGTCAGTCACGGAGTTGGTAGGGCCTTCAGGGCAGGAGGCCGGTTTGATACCCTTCAGCTGGGCAGTGCTGCAGCTACAGTTGGCAGGCTCGTGGCCTCTCAGACTGAGGCACAATCACAATGATTGAAAGCATCAGGAGTGCCGTCGCACAGGTTGGCTGGTTTATTTGTTTATTTATTTTTTAAATTTAGACAGGGTGTACAGGGTCTCATTAGTAGATCAGACTCTCAGTGGTTCTCCTGTGTTCAGCCCACGTGCTGGGATTACAGGCACAAGCCACCATGCCTACTCTCAATCCCAAGTGCTGGGATTACAGGAATGTGCCACCATCCCTAGTCTCAATCACCATCTCAGCAGGTCCCAGGGGCGGGGCTGGCGCAGGCATGGCACACCAGGGATCAAACGCTGGGCGCTGCACTCTGCCAAAGTGGGCACTTTAGTCCACTGAGCTATCTGGCCGGCCCTTGGTGGGTTTGGACCTATGCAGATAGCCCCAAGACCCAGTGCACATGTGTTCAGAATCAGGGCTCTGTATCAGGTCTTCATAATGTTACCCTTCACTGTGAGCTACGTTTAGAATGGTGATGTGCAGGAGCCAATAGGGCAATCAGGAGAACTGACCTCCTAGGAGTGATTGATTCAGATTAGTAGCTTCAGAGAAATCTGAAACTTTGTGACACGCAGGATCCATTCACTGGGATGAAAAGACCTTTAAAAGGCTGGTATCCTAAGCCCGCCAACTTGGCCCCAGTCTTCCCCAGGACACCTGCAGCGAAGAAGGAGGTAAAGACAGACTTTAAAGCCAGAGAGGCAGAGAAGGTAGAGCCCTGTGTGCACCAGGGCGGCAGCCTTGTCCTGTGCCTCTGCCCGGGAGGGACGCATCTGCATTGCCTTCTCCTGTCTTGGATTTCTAGTTGCAGAAGGTGCACACTACGGGAGGCGTGCCTATGCAAATGAGGGCTTAAAGTCTTTGACTTCCGTTCTGTGGTTGTTGAGCCAAACCTTGTTGTACTTTAGGATTTCTGAGGAGGAGATTTAACAGTAAGTAACTTTTCCAGGTAGCCAGGTAGGATGGTGTGCTGTGCAGGCAAATTTGGAAGTCATTGCTCTTTTAACGTTTTGGTCCCTCTGTCTTCACAATCCACTGTTAGTGAGAAGATATCCCTAGTGTAAACATCTCACTATACAGAGGAAGGTTGCGTCCACCTGCCCAGTGTCACTGCGTAGATTTATACTCACAGTTCAGATTATTCTGTATATAATGGGTGGGAAGCCTAATCCTAATCCACCATGCATGGAGAGTTTATGGTTGAAGAAAATCTGTCCCTGAACTAGTTCTATTTACTAGAACTTGAGAACTACTTGCGTTCAGAAGGCATTAAAACATTTCCAGTCAGCCTTTTGCATTTGCAGTCTAGCATATTGCCAAGTTAAAGCAAGACAGTGGCTGAAGGGGGACAGTACAAGTGTGCCTTGTAGCTTGTTTTTTTTTGGATTCAAAGTGGTTTGCAAGGTCAGCCAGATAGCTCAGCAGATTAAAGCTGTTCCTTAAGCAGATGCAGGGGCTGGGGATTCAATCCCTGGCCTGCCTTGCCAGCTCCGTGATTGAGACTGGGCATGGTGGTGTGCACCTGTAATCACAGTGCTTGGGAGGCTGAAAAACAGGAAGGATCATTATGAGTCCGATCTGTGTGGTGAGACCCTGTAGACACTGTACTAAATACATAAAAATAAAGTGCTTTGCAGTGG